ATTAATTTAGGTTTATTGTAATAAAGTTTCTACTATGACATTATATTTAATAAAAAAAAAAAAAAAAAAAAAAAAAAGCTTCTTCAAAGCTCAGGCCAAAGCTAGGTATTTTCTATTTGGGATTGATATCTTATATTAATTACTAATACAGGTGAGGCTAAATCACTATTAAACAAAGCACTTTCATTTTTAGATAAAAAAGTATGTGGAAGTCTAAATATAACTGAAAACTTTAAAAGTGAAGATTTGGCACAATATCTGGATATGGTAGATAAAATTAATAATACTAATATAATTAATTACTGGAATGAAAAAATATTCTGGAGAGATGATTGGTGTGATAAGTGAGAATGTAAATACTCCTGAAGATATTTATTAATATTTAACAAAATATTATGATACTCTACAAGATAATCTATATAGTAATTTATTTAAAAGAGAGGTAATATCAGTAGAACGACTTGTTATCCAGTTTGGAAGATTAAAAATTGGAGCAGAAATATATGGTTCAAAGATTGCCTCTAGATATAAAAATCACTCATATATTAGAGCAAAGTTTCTTGCTTCAAGAGATAATACTGAAAATATATATCTGGGGCAAATATAATTCTTTTTTCAACATAAATATAACAATAAAATATAGCATCTAGCATATATTCGATAGTATCAACTATATGCTACAAAAAGATTTTACTTATCATTCAAAAATAATTAGCGATATGATATAGAAATTTGGCAAACCAAATTTTATAAAGAATCAAGAGATTGTATAATTCCTATACAGAAGTTATTAGGCCGATTCATCTCTTTTTTGTATAAATTTAAAAAAGGTAATAATATACAAAAAGTATTAGTAGTAATTCCAACAAATAAATAATTTAATATATAATAGACAGATAGTGTAATAGTTTATATATTATTAGTCTGATGATATATTAATATTAAATAATAACAAACATGTACTAGTTGGGGAAAAGTTACTGAATATGCAGGTAAGTACATGTGTGGGACATGTACTATTCTGTTAGGTTTACTACAAGGATAAATGCCTATGTAGCTAAAGTCTTAGGGTTCTTATACAGTATTGTTAATCTCGTTAAGAGTGTTAGGGTAAAGCGTGTTACAAAAATGGAGCCAGAGGATTTAAATGGGTATCCCCCATAGTTGGATGCAGGTATAGCAACTAGTGTAGAACCTAGGGCAGACTACTTAAATAGGTAACCAAAAGTTGCATGTATGGCTAGTCGTACTCTCATTAGT